GAACTCGAACAGGTCAGACAAGAAAACTGGAAAAAGGACCTTATTTCATGGATCTTCAAAGTAAACTTACAAGGACAACTTATGCAGTTGGCACAGAAACTGGGGGAACCAATTTTTAAGAACTCAGAGCTTAGCTACATTGAAATTCTGAAAAGTTCTGACTCAAAAGAGACATGCACTAGGTGAAAGACAATAAAGAAACAGAACCACGGACTAACTCCATCATGGATGATTAGCATCAAGCATGATTATTTAAAACAAAATTACAATTTCAAAATCCAATATCATTGTTTTCAAGTTGCGCATGGGACATTGATATATCAATTGAGTCTGTATTAGGCATAATTTATTTAATAACTTGAAATTAGAAAAGGAATAATGAAACTATTCTTCTGAATAGTATAATTTGTTCCTTTGAAAATCTATTGTGATTAACAGAAGGAGCCTGTAACTTAGCATCAGTACTCATTGGTAGCTAGATGCTCTTCTGTTTAAATATACACTTGGATGAGTACGTATCAGATAAATAACACCTCTGTTGGATTTTTTTTCTAAACAATTCAAAAGGCATTCGAAGTTTTCCATGTTCTATATTTTCTTCCCATAACAACACCTATTCCTCACACAGATAGTCCCACTGACACATGATTTAAACAGAATAACTCCAGATGTTATTCATAGTGAAATTCCAATCTAGTGAATGAGAACTTAAACGAGGGGGCTTACACCAACAAAATGAAATATCTTCATATCAAAGTGAAGTAATAGTAAGGTATAGTTCCAGTAGATGCATATTCCATAAGAGAATAAGCTATTTGACCACAAACTCCTAACTGCAACTCTCGATCACATACCTGGGAAGCTATAGATGTCGAATTCCTTATCAATTTAATCTCAGCTTCTGATTTTATCCATCGTGCTTCATGACTATAGACTGAAAAATCTTTCACGATGCCATTGTGAGCTGCTTTCTGGAATGCCTCCAGTTTCATATAAGTAGAGTTATCTGTGACTGTGTTCACGAACAATTGAGATGAGCTGCCAATCATCCTTGAAAGGATCTGCAACCACAGTACAAAATTAACCCTGATGTACAGTTAGAAATTGGCTATGGACAAATGAACAGTAACTAGAAAGCTTCATATGATCTCAGTTCATGTTCAACTAGACAACTAGTAGCCTGGGATGCTCACGGTTCATAAGTCCATGCCATTTATCTGGTGTAAAGTCTCAACGCAATTCATATTGAATATGTAATTCATTTTTTTATCAAAATCAAATCATACCGGGTTATGAGCTTGGATATTTAATAATCTAAAGGATCACATAATGTGCAGATAGTCCTCTGATTACACATTTACATTCATAAGGTATGAAAAATAATTTCCATTTAGAGATTTATAATAAAAATAAGCTGGCTGCATCATGCACATCATATGATAAGACATTTTTCACTATCAAATCAGAAAACAAAGGAGTGTCTGGAGTTTCAACAGATGAAATACTAGCACATATATGAGATGGTATGGAAGCATTCTCAATGCAAACAGAACCATAAGGGAAATTCAGCTCAACTGTGGTCTCAATCTGAGTTTCATTTATGTATACATGCTAAAATTTTGCAATCACTGATAGATTACATGTTGACTACTAATAGCTTCTAGATATTTATAGTTACTTTTGCTTTTGGAACAATTACATTTAAGAGTTGAGTTCACCTTATTCAATGCACTTATAGGGTGTGCTTCATCAGCTTTGAATGTACCCAGAGCCGCATCAACTCCAGCAATCTCACCTTGCCAAATAACATCCTGAATCAGATTCATGAAGCCTTATCAGTTACAATTAAGAGAATCTAGTCCTGACCCATTTGTACGGTAAAAACCATACCACATGACTGATATGGGAAATGCAAATTCAGGATAAGTGTATCTTTACAGATTCAAAACAACCCCCAATTTTAACCAATCAAGGACTATTTCATGGTAAATGCACAATGGATGTTTCTCAATTTGATGGGCTCGTGGAGTTTTTTGGTTTTGATGCAGGGAGGGGTAAGTGGAAAATGGAGGAGATTTGGGTTGCATATGTGGTTTACAAAACTCACATAAAAAACAACAAAAGTATAATATTACGACCTGTTAAGAAGAAAAGAAGAACATGACTGTTAGCTATCAACACAATGTTAAACAAAGCTATTTAATGCCATATTTCCCGCAGAAAGCACCCAAGAACCACTAAAATTTCTGTATCCACTTGGCAGTTCAAACTAAGAACGCATTGGCAGTTCAAACTTCAACTATTGCATAAAAAAGAACCTACCAAATGTTCTCCAGAAATTTAACAATCACATAAAAAACTGAGAGCTCACAAATGTTCTCCAAATATAAGATGGAAGTAAGAAAATAAAATTAGAAATAATATTACATCAAATGAATTAAATGATTGCTGAAATTGTCTAAAGACTATTATCAGTAATCCAATCATTTTCCCTGGTTGACAGAAAAAATTTATGATAACATCCCCCCAAAAAATCCTAAAATTATTCCATTGCTTCATCTAAAGATACCCACAAGAATTTACTCAAAAGGCAAAAATGAAAACAACAGATAATTTTGACAGTCAACATTAGGCTTACATTAGGACTAGCTTCAGGCATGAACATGCACAAACCACAATTGTGACCTAAAATTGCAATACCACCTGGCTGTTGACACCCGGTGATATAAAGATAATCAGCATCTTGCCGAAAATTGTACGGCACAACATCAGTCATCATCTTCACCGGGGCCGACGCAATGATTGCCAAAGCATTCTCCGGTAAAAGTCTCAACAGATTCTTTCGCCTCCATATATACTCATCAACACTAATGCCAGGAGTAATATCTCCTTCATTCACTAACTACAATAAACAAAGGGAGAGGTCACATTAACTAGTGCAAAACAAAATAACGATGACAAAATAGACATAGGAGAATGCATAAGGCACCTGAGGATGAGTGCTAGCAGTTGGCTGGCCCACATCGACTGCCGTTCTACTAGAAAATCTTCTCACCTTTACCAATCCAATTGTTTCCACAAATATAAAGTCATTGAAAATGTTTCAAAAACAAAAAAAACAAAAAAAAAAAAAGAAAAAAAGTTCACATGGCAGTGTAAACACATTTTCAACAACTATATTGGTATTGCTACACAAGTTCTCAGATCGATTCAAGACGGATGTAATGGTTTGAAACAGGTTTTTACCTCAAAACCCAAAAACGATGATAGATTCAAAACATAGAGAGTCTCTACCCTATGAGCTTCATCAAAGCTGATTACCATGAATTACTGAATTAATCATTGTCAACTGATAACTAGACATTAGGAAACAGTTCATATTGATGCTATGACTTAAGAGTTCAAAAAATATAAAATGCAGCCTCGCCTAACTAATTTTCATCACTAACAGATGATTCACTTTCACCTGAAAGTTAGCAGAAAAATAAAACAATGAGTAGCAAATGTCAGCGTCCATTTAAAAAATATTTATTAAATTTCAGGACATATATATGACTATGATGCATATCGTCCCGAAAAAATAA